CTCTCACCCAGCAGTGCTGGATTTCAGCAGCGACTGAATATCTGCTCTGATTGTGGGTTGAGATATGATGTGAAATATGATGCTAAGAAAACTGTTATGAAGGACTAAGGCAGACAAAGAACTTTGTTTTCCTGATTTTTTTTTTTTTTCTGTTGGGGCAAAAGTTTGTTCAAAAACTAAATATCTGGGTCACAAACTAGTTCTGTGATGATGATGACATTTATTGGCAGTGTCGCATATTGTACGCATTCTGGGGAGAAAATGTCATATGTGTACTGATGAGGTAAAAATAAGTCTGTTCAAGGCTTACTGTACATCCCTGTGTACAGCCCCTTTGTGGTGCAGATTTTAAAAAGCTAGCATGTAAAAGCTTAAGGTTGATTTTTTTTATGTATTGTTGTGTGTCATGTCTTTGTTCTTTTTTATGTCTATAAAAAGGACATATATATGTTGTTGTAAATTGCTTTTCAATAAAGTAATCCATATACTTTAAATGCAGTATTTTTCAACAAGGTCTTAGAGTTTAGTTGGAGAACAAACAGCATCATGAGGACCAAGGAACAGCAGACAGATCACTGTCACTAATTTCAGCTCCTGACAGGCAAATTTTTTAGAATGTCAACTTTGAGCATATTTACAAACAAACAGAATATTTTTAATGAGTGTAGAAGAATGAAGGAAAGCAGAACAATAAATTCTCCTCTTAAATGAAAAATTGTTTACGCCTGTAAATGAATCCCAAATATGTAGTTGTGAGTTCCAATAAAACGTCTTTGTAGAGGAACACTGCCCTCTGTTGACTGGAGAATATTTTGCAACACAGTTGATATTTGTAATTGGGTTCTGCGTCTTTAAGAGTTCCCATTATGAGAAAAGTAATAATCAAGAAATGAAATATTGTACGAGGATGACTACTACTTTATTGTAAAAATGCTTGTTGGCAACAAAAATTATACTCTTGGAAAACAATTTTTTTCCCTGTGAAATGGTGGCACATTGTAAGGAAGATCTACATGCATGTTAAGAATGCGATGCCATTTGACAGTATTGTGTGACCAAGTTGGTCACCAGCAGGAGGTTCCAGGTTTTTGGTTGCCTCTCACACTATAACAAGGCTTTGATTTGTTAAATGTACATTTTTAAATTGAGAATATGTCACGTTTCTTCATATTTCTATCGTTCACTCCAGTAAACAAGACTCAAAGAAAGTCTTTAAAATGCCTGAAACCAATGCTTGGTTTCAAGAGACTCTCCAAAACAAAGGAGTTAAAAGGTACTTAATAGTTTAACAACACAATTTGTCTACTTGAGTAATTTTAATTTAGTAAAGCTGCTCTTGTCTGAGTACAGTTTCTGATTACTCTACCAGGCAGTAGTAACGTTACTAATGAAGGAGAAACATATTTTAACTAAAAATACATCAAACACAGAAACTCACCAACGGATTACAGTAAAGTCAGACTTCTGGTTTGCACACACAAGCTTCCTTCTGTCTTTTTTCTTCTGTTTATTTGTGACTCAATTAACTGATGATGGCTTACTTTAAAAAAACATTATTTACCATTTGCAACCTTTTAAATAAGCTACTGGAAAAGTAGTGAAGCTGTGAACCTTATTGAAAGTTTTTCAGTCATAGG